TCCACTCGTCAATCTTGTTTAACATCATAGACTGGCTGTAAGGAAAATATTGTTTTACTTACAGATTTTCTAAATGCTGTCATTACACATTTTTTTTTAAGTCGCAATGATCTCATCAGAAGACACTTTATGGGAAGCTGTCAAACTCACCAATGGTAAATAACAAGTTTTCCAAAATCCTAACATTCACTTGAAAGCCCACATTTTATCACTGGCAGTGAATACTGTCCGTTGTTTTCCTTTAAGTGATAGGCTGTCTTAATTGTTTTCACAAAATATCCACCAAATAATACCAAAGTCTGAATCATCCACAGTTTGTCTGTCATTCTCAAGTAAAAAAATGGCATTCAATGAAAAAAGAAAGCAGCTCAAACTAATCACAGCACTTTCCTCAACGTGACCTCACTCTTCAGTATAGTCTTGAGTATACAGCAGATAAAGCAGAAGTGCTTTTTCTGTACTTCCCATTTTGTCACACAGAATGCTAAAGAGCATACTCAAGGACGGGGATGTAGTAAAATTCATACTTTACAGTTTTACCAAGGACATCTTTAAGTGAAACCTGCATTTAAAAAAAAAAAAATTGCAAGTATGTGGTGGTGAAGAGTATTATGACTATAAGTGCAATTTATTGCCAAGATCCCGGTTCATCAACAGTTTATATTTGCTTTTCTCTAACAGTTTAGAAGTCAACACAGTGAAAAGGGCAAACAATGTGATGGTATTATAAAGACAGTTTGACCTCACAGACTCCCTAAAGGGCCTTAGGGACATCCAGGAATCTGCAGGCCTTACTCTGAGAACCACTGCCCTACAAGATGCTACCTCTTTCAGAAGGCGTTTTAAAAACATGTGTCTCAAAGTCTTATGAATTTTTGAGATCCAAAGGAATGAAACTTTAACAGTAGAATTTCATTCACTCAGGATAACTATAGAATGAAGCATTTCTGATACGTTATTCATTTAATAATACAAAGAAAAAAGTAATGTAATACATGTTTTATACTAGTAGAGAAATAATAATCTGTCTCATTCCATGTTCTGCTTAAGGAATCCAATGAAAAATGCTTAGCAATACTTTTCTCTGAGCCATTCACTAGAGCAAGGCAATAATAAGACCACTTTTTAAAGATATACTGTTAGTTTTCTAAATTTCTTCCTACGCCTACTTAATAATTACTCAAACTAAGGAATAATCAAATTCTTAGTAATAACCTCAAACACAAAAATACTATCCCCCACTCTTAGATGGTATTTCACTGTGGATCTCAGCGCATGTCACAAATGTCATTTCATCTAATAATTTTCATCAGTTTCCAATGATGTCTATGTTACATGGGGGAAAAAAAACTACTGTGGAGATTCATTTGATTATAAGATAAAACAAGTGAAAATTCCTCAAGTGAGTGACAGAGAGAAACTCACTTTACATTCTTTACTTGGGATTCCAAAAATACTAGCTAAAGTATACTGACCATTGCCCTGAGCACTTAGCAGGCATTATATTATTTAATCCTTATGACAACACTGTAAAGCAGGTAGTATTGTGTCATTTTAAAGATGAGAAAACTGAGGCTCAGGGAAGTCAAGATTCCTAACCAAGATTACAGCTAGTAAGAGGCAGAGCTGGACACGAGCCAAGAATATCTGTCTCCAGAGTCCACATCCTTAGTCATGAGGCTACAATCTAAAGAAAACTAACAGGGCTGGACTGTGGGGCTGGGGGAAAGGAGAATCATGTGAGAGACCATCCTCACTCCCTTCAGAGTTGTGGATCACTGATACTGACAACTCTGAAAGATCCACATAGACTGCACTAGTTCACATGTGCCATAAAATGACGCCCAGAAAAGCTGAGTAACTTCCATCAGATCCAAACTCAGTAAGTATCAAACTCCCCATTTTTTCCATAGTACCACATCAAAAATCGGGATTTAAATGTTCTCTACCGAAACAGAAGTACACAACTGGTTTCTCAGAACATACTTGCGTGACTTTATTTCCTCCAATTCTTTTGTGAGTTTCTCATTTTTTTCTTGAGCCTCATGTAACCGGCGCTTTAGATCACCAATCTCCTCTTGGGCTTCAGATTTAATGTCATTTGCAATGACTACTGCAGTCTGAAGATCAGCCTGAAACTGCCGCCATTCCGCAGATTCTTCCTATATTAAAAAACTAACTTTTTATTTCCAAAAGAGAGCAATCAAGATTTATTTAAAAGCAATAAAATTTGTTTATGATTGGATTGCTGTAACACACTAATGCTTCCAAATGATGATTCATTTTTTTAATCACAGAGAATTGCTATTATCTATTTCTAACAGGCAATGCAACTATTATTAGTGAACTTGTTCTTTTTTTTTTTTTTTTTTTTGAGACGGAGTCTCGCTCTGTCGCCGGGGCTGGAGCGCAGTGGCCGGATCTCAGCTCACTGCAAGCTCCGCCTCCCGGCTTTACGCCATTCTCCTGCCTCAGCCTCCTGTGTAGCTGGGACTACAGGCGCCCGCCACCTCGCCCGGCTAGTTTTTTGTATTTTTTTAGTAGAGACGGGGTTTCACCATGTTCACCAGGATGGTCTCGATCTCCTGACCTCGTGATCCGCCCGTCTCGGCCTCCCAAAGTGCTGGGATTACAGGCTTGAGCCACCGCGCCCGGCCAGTGAACTTGTTCTTAATAAGGAAAAGATTTTCCAGCTGATCTGCCTACTGAGGCATCAAGTACTCAGAGTGCTCAATAGATATTAATGAAAATAGTGTCAAGCTTCCCTTCTTCATGCAAGTTTCAAAGCAGGTCTTATGAAAATAAACATCATCTAGAATGTATGGATCTTTACCTCTGAAAAGCACAAGAAGGTATATAATGGTATGTGAACCATACAGTGAAAAACTATAAATATCCTGACATCAAAACCTAACAGGAAAAAAAAAAAAATCAAAAGAAAAGGAAGAGGAAGCCAGAAGAAAAACACTAAACTCAATATAGGCAGGCAAAATTATACAAAGAAGCGGTAAGGAACTACGTGGTCTGTTGCTTCCCACAGTCATGGAGGATGTGGGTGTGGCCGGGTGGGGAAGTCTCCCTGGGACTCACCTCCCTCAGAGCCACAGCTGGGCCATGCCTGAGCCCCATGCCCTCCTCACCCCTAAAGCAATTTTCTTACACGATGAAAGCAGCCTGAGCAACTGTGGTATGACCCAAACGACTGAGTAGCTTTCTCCCCACTCCCTGCATCATGGCTGCATTGCTATTGGCAAGACAGATCACAGCCACAAAATGTATGAAAACAGACTAGTTTGGGGCACCTTATAATCAAAAGCTAATAACTTTTCTTTACAAAATAGAACACTTTTTCCCCAAATCTATCTTTCTAAAATTACTAACCATAAATTTCTATAGGTCGAGTATCACTTATCCAAAAGCATTTCAGATTTAAGATTTTTTGGATTTTGGAATATTTGCACTATACTTAACAGCTAAGCATCCCAAATCTGAAAATCCGAAACCCAAAATGTTCCAATAAGCATTTCCTTTGAGCATCATGCCATCATTCAAAGAGTTACAAATTTTGGAATATTTTAGATTTCAGAATGTCTAGTTAGGGATACGCAACCTATAGTACATTCTTCTACCCAAAATCTAGCAGCAATCCCAATCTGAAATGATAGCATTTGCTTTCTGCCCAAAACCCAATGGGGCCAGTATTATCACTGTATCCAAAGCTTAAGATGAGTGATAATATGGTCAATGACTACACCTCAAATTTCAGAAAACTGTTTTCTAACAAGATAATACATGAATATTTATCCTACCCGAAGTCTTCTGTGGAGTGTCTTTATTTCTCTTTCCATGTCGTGCTTTTGGTCCTGGAGTTTTTTAACTGTATCTGAAAAGATCACCAAAGTTTAAATACCTATTCTCACAACAAAGTTCAGGGGAATAATACAAAGAAAAGGGGTACTTAAATATGACATTTGAAAAAAGTTATCCTGTCCAAAGACTACAAAAAAATTTTAATACAAAACTTTAATAGAAAAAATGTGCAATCCAAGTAATAACCAATATTACTTTCTTTGGAAAATACCAAGTTAAAAAAATCACAATTTCTAAATCACTTCCTTCCACAGTATCTTAATTTTGAAACAAAAAGTAAAACCGTTAGAAATTCACTTTGTTGGTACATAACCAGTCAAAACAATATTGACTGTGACTAAAATATGAACTTTTAATCATAAACATTGTTAATCTGCAGTATTTATATAAGCATATCTTTCCTTACACACTGAATAAATTCCAGAAGTGAATTAGTAAAATCAAAATTAGTAAAAAATATAATACCCAGGGTAGCTGCTGTTTAAATTAATCCTATACAAATCTTATTAAAAAATAAAGAATATATTTATAAAGTAAATCAATAATTCCTCAAATTATTTATCCCATAATGTGAATTTTCTTAGAACAATTTCATTCACTCTAAAAGCATTCAGTGAACACCAATAAGATGCAAAGTACCATTCTAGACAGAGTGAGGATACAAGGATGAAAGTGTAGCACAGGCTAGTCTCCCTGGAACCAGAAACATAAAGGGAAGTCACCTTCTCTTCGGAGGTTCTACTCTAAAATCCAAGCATAAGAGAGAAATGCCTTAGGAGGGTGCTATGCTGATAGCTGCCACTAAGTAAATCGCTCACGGCTGATTACTTTGACAGCTCAGGAAAGAATCACTTTTTGGTTAAGGGCAAGAAAGGGTACTTACACACTGGTGGCAAATCCTTTACCCTGATTCACCTACAGCCCCACCCCAGTAGATCCCTGGCTGTTCTCTGTGTCCCAACTGTGTCTTACGCAGCCTTGTACCATGTCGCTGCCAACATTACCACATCTCTTGACACACCTGTCTCCATCACTAGACTAAAAACACTTCAAAGGCAGAAGCAGCCATGTGATAACCTCACGGACTCAGTAGTTGTAATAATGGTATCTTAAAAATGGAATAGGCCGTCGCTCTCCAATGCCAGTGCCGCCTCTCGCTCACCGAGCTCCAGCCAAAGGAGAAGGGGGGTAAGTAAGGAGGTCTCTGCACCATGGCTCGTACAAAGCAGACTGCCTGCAAATCGACCAGTGGTAAAGCACCCAGGAAGCAACCGGCTACAAAAGCCGCTCGCAAGAGTGCGCCCTCTACTGGAGGGGTGAAGAAACCGCATCGTTACAGGCCTGGTACTGTGGCGCTCCGTGAAATTAGACGTTATCAGAAGTCCACTGAACTTCTGATTCGCAAACTTCCCTTCCAGCCTCTGGTGCGAGAAATTGCTCAGGACTTTAAAACAGATCTGCGCTTCCAGAGCGCAGCTATCGGTGCTTTGCAGGAGGCAAGTGAGCCCTATCTGGTTGGCCTTTTTGAAGACACTAACCTGTGTGCTATCCATGCCAAACGTGTAACAATTATGCCAAAAGACATCCAGCTAGCATGCCGCATACGTGGAGAACGTGCTTAAGAATCCACTATGATGAGAAACATTTCATTCTCAAAAAAAAAAAAAAAACTCTTCTTCCTGTTATTGGTAGTTCTGAACATTAGATAATTTTTTTCCCATTGGGTCAAAAGGTACCTAAGTATACGATTGCGAGTGGAAAAATAGGGGACAGAAATCAGGTATTGGCAGTTTTTCCATTTTCATTTGTGTGTGAATTTTTAATATAAATGCAGAGGCGTAAAGCATTAATGCAAGTTAAAATGTTTCAGTGAACAAGTTTCAGTAGTTCAACTTTATAATAATTATAAATAAACCTGTTAAATTTTTCTGGACAATGCCAGCATTTGGATTTTTTTAAAACAAGTAAATTTCTTATTGACGGCAAAAAAAAAAAAAAAAAGGCAATAAATATATGAATGTGTCAGCTGATGGTAGCAGTAATAAAAAGCAATGCTGAAATCATTACCTAGGGTTTTTCTTTTTTTTTTAGTAAGTATCCTATTGATAGAACTTAACAATTTATCATTAGGGACAAAGTAACTATAGACTTTAGTGTTTCTGGGTAAATAACATTCTCTCCCATTCCTTATACGTAGTAGCAGGAACTCAGGCATAGTGAACACTTGCTTGCAATCACACATGTAATAAAAAAATTCTTCCTCTAGCTAATAATTTATTGGCTTTTAATCAAGACCCGAAAGTATGAGTATGCTGATGTTTTTTCTTACATGGCTCATCATCTTCTTTATCCCTGTTCCACTAGAACCTTCTCTATCCCTGTTCCACTAGAACCTTCTCTTTGAAAATCTTTTTGCCACTATGCTTTACATTTGATGTTGGTATATGTGTGTGTTCTGATATTTTTGGGTTTTGTTTTTTTTTTTTTTTTTTGAGACATAGTCTCAATCTGTTGCCCAGGCTGGAGTGCAGTGGCGTGATTTCAGCTCACTGCAACCTCTGCCCCCTGGGTTCAAGTGATTCTCCTGCCTCAGCTTCCTGTGGAGCTGGGATTATAGGTGCCTGCCACCACGTCCAGCTAATTTTTGTATTTTCAGTACAGACGGGGTTTCACCATCTTGGCCAGGCTGGTCTTGAACTCCTGACCTCATGATCCACCTGCCTTGGCCTCCCAAAGTGCTAGGATTACAAGCATGAGTCACCGCACCCGGCTAGTATTCTGATATTTTTAAGTGGCACGAATTCACTTTAACAACATAGAGCCTAGAATATTTATAACAATTATATGTGAAATAATAATTATTACAAATAAATAATAATGCTGTATTTTCTAAAGCTGGATGAGAAATAAATGAGATAAAACATTGGTGGCAGCGGCAATTCTGGTAGCCAGTAGTTAACTTACTCTCATTCATTGCCCCAAAACTGTGTAACAAAGTCAGGTCTTGTGAAATAAAAAGGTTCAAATTTTACTCTTTAATTCTACAAATGTGTCATATGTACCAACTTTGTACCAGGCTTTTTTCTAAGTGCTTAAGATGTAAAGGAAACAAAAAAGATATAATCTTCATCCTCTTAGAGACAGAAAGGCTAGTCTTGTGTTGAGACAACAAAGGTAGATGACTTCATAAGCAAAAGATTAAACTTTAAAGCCTGTCTCATATATAAGCTACTTCAGACTCAATCTGCAAACTAAAGGTCAAATAGGACATCTAATCTGGTTTAGGTAAAGCAGACACCAAGCTGAGTAGGCAAGTCTAATGCCCTGATCCTTATCTCTGGAGGCAAGCATGGCTCTGGAATCAGCATGGGAACTTGGTTCCTTGAGACCTCACACATAGACAAATTCAGGGTTTTGTACATAGATGAGGAGTAAGGATAGAAGCTGAAAAATTTCTAATGTTGAAAACACTAAGAGTTACACCTTTCATTTACATTGTATCCATTTATATGCAAGAAATATTTCATAATCAAAACAGGCAGTCAGGAGTGGTAGCTCAGGCCTGTAATATCTGCCGATCACCTGTGGTCAGGAGTTCGACACCAGCCCGGCCAACGTGGTGAAACCCTGTCTCTACTAAAAATAAAAAATTAGCCGGCTGTGGCGGCAGGTGCCTGTAATCCCAGCTACGCAGGAGGCTGAGGCAGAAGAATTGATTGAACCCAGAGGGCAGAGGCTGCAGTGAGCCAAGATGGTGCCATTGCACTCCAGCCTGGGCAAGAAAAGTGAAACTCCATCTCAAAAAAGCAAACAAGCAACAAAAAACAGGCAAGCAAACAAAAAATATTAGGAGCATAATTTCTCTTGAAATGTGCTAAAACTTGTTTTCTTTTTCTTGTCACAAAGGATACGACACATCTACTTATTATTAAACATAATATACACAAGACAAATGACAGCAAATCTCAGGACAGTTCACTTTTAACATTTGGCATTCTGATTCTCAGGTGACATTTTAAGCTACATGATCATCTTAGACTGATCGTAAATCCTCAAGTTGCATTCATTCTTTTGCTCTTTTTCTCTTTATTGACCTTTTCATTCATGGGCACAGAATTCACATAATCACTGTTCTTTAAAAGGTGTTTTTCTGCCCCCTGGCACTACATTTTTATTATTGTCACCTCTTATAAATAAATCCTTTTAAATAAAAGGGAAAGTGGCAGCCAGTGGAAATATTCAGACAGAATAAAGTGCACTAAAAGTGTCTGTAGGGATTTGATTTAAACTTTACAATTTTTACAATCATGTCTATATTTTTACTTCTGAAACGGAATGTATTTTTTTTTCCTGGAAACAAAGGAATTTGTGCTTAAGTTCTTGTTGTGAAGACTAGTTTGCAAAACTGCCATCTACCATGATTTGTGGTCACACAAGAAAGCAGCATTACTCTTCGACTCTCGAATCTCTAACGGCAGTTTTCTTCCTCTTCAGTGCTCCTCCTGTGAGAGACACTGCCATCTACTGTCTTCAACTCAAAAGCAACACTCAAGTCTACCAAGGAAAAGAACTACTACTATGATCTTCCTATTTTTAAATTACAAATTATAATTCAATTTTTACAAAGTTATTTTTATTCTAGAGATCAGGCAAACTGCTATTCTCAATGTTATTAGACCAATTTTGTTCTGATCAACTCTGGGCACTGCCCTACCCATTTAACAATGGGTTCATAACCTTTGAGTCCCATTATTGATTATGAACCCCATTACTCTCTGACAAAAAATAATCCATTCTCACTCTGGTTATATCCCATCAATCATGCTGATATTGCCAGGCAGCTACCATGGACACAGGATCAATCTGTGACTTTTTCTTTTCTGTTTTGAGATAGAGTCTCACTCTGTCGCCCAGGCTTGAATGCACTGGCACAATCTCAGCTCACTGCAGCCTCCGCCTCCTGGGTTCAAGCCATCCTCTCACCTCAGCCTCCCAAGTAGCTGGGATTACAGGCACCTGCCATCACACCCAGCTAATGTTTGTATTTTTAGTAGATACGGGGTTTCACCATGTTGGCCAGGCTGGTCTCAAACTCCTGAACTCAAGTGATCTGCCTGCCTTGGCCTCCCAAGGTGCTGGGATTACGGGCGTGAGCCACTGCGCCCGGCCTGGTTCAGTGTTGAACTCTCAAAGTGCTGGAATTACAGGCACGAGCCACCGTGCCTAGCCCTATTTTATTACTAAATGCAAATTATCCCCACATGTTTAAAAGAGTAAGATAAAAAAGAATGAAAAGTTCTTATCACTTACTCTCTAAATCAGAAATAATGAGGTTGTCATGAAGTTTCACAGCACGATGTTGTTCTACTTCATCTTCAAGTTCAAAGATGGTTTCTTTCATGTCACTCCTTTCTGTTTCTTTTTCATCCAGGTCTGATCTTAATTTTTCTAACGTCATATTCAAATCTTCAATTTGTTTCTTAGCTTCTTCTTGGAAGGCTCGGTATTCATCCTCTACCTATATAAAATTGATGATGCAGATTTAGAAAAGTGAAGAGTTGTTCTAAGGTAAGTTCCAGAATTGAGGTACACACAGTTTCTAAGGGGAACTAAGTGTGAGGCACTATGGATAAACTAAAACAACCTGTATAGTAACTGTTAAAAAGTATGAAAAAGCACTCCATGGTAAGATTTTATATAATACGCTTAAACATAAACTGTTGCTGTAACACTGACTGAAATTATATTGATGTATCATTGAACTTAATCAGATTATTTACAAGGAGACTGGAAATTTTCATTTCTCCAAAGTTTGGACTGAAAGCATGTACGTTTGATGAATAACATGTTGTCCTAACAAAAATGGTGTCATATTTGTGACGGTTCCAGTATCAAACTGAAAAAGGGAAAAACAATGCTCAAATAGTGTTTTTACAAAAGTATTATATTAGTTCACAGTAGCCTCTCAACATACATGTGCCAAGAAATAATACAAATCTCCTAAACTGTAACTTTAAAAGTGATCACTAAAAAAACCCTAAAACCTAAATTATTCACATTTTGGCCAAAGATATATTAAAATTTATTTAAAAATAATTGCACTAAAATAACAAACAAACAAAATGTAAGCTAGAATAACTAGATAACTCATGGAAATAAACAATTCATCAGCAACCACATGGGGTACAGATCCCTGGCCAGAATGCCAGCGGCACTGGGTAGCAGTTCCAACTGAGTCCTCACTATTATGCTGCATGCATGTAAAACAAGGGGCTGGACGGATAATCACTAAGGTCCCTGCCAGCAATAAATCACAGGCCTCTGAGAAACAGGAGCCTCTATATGCCAAAAATATTTTTTAACTCTCAACAGATTTCTATTTGAAAAACTATTTCTATAGCAGGAGAAGAGGAAACATGCACTGCTGATGCTACAGACTGGAATACTGACTCTCCACCTATAGTACACCAGAACAGATTCGAGATGAGGTAGGGGGAGGTAAAATTTCATGACCCACTCCATAGGCATACTCAGAACTAGGGACAAATTCTAGTTTTAGCTGTAATACCAGCCACATCCTCTAACAGGCAGGATAATAGAAACAAAATACAAGTGAGAGAAAGTGACATTATCTTAAGAATACTTTTCATGGCCGGGCGCGGTGGCTCACGCCTGTAATCCCAGCACTTTGCGAGGCCGAGGCGGGCGGATCACAAGGTCAGGAGATCGAGACCACGGTGAAACCCCGTTTCTACTAAAAAAATACAAAAAATTAGCCGGGCGCGGTGGCGGGCGCCTGTAGTCCCAGCTACTCAGGAGGCTGAGGCAGGAGAATGGCGTGAACCCGGGAGGCGGAGCTTGCAGTGAGCCGAGATTGCGCCACTGCACTCCAGCCTGGGCGACAGAGCAAGACTCTGTCTCAAAAAAAAAAAAAAAAAAAAAAAAGAATACTTTTCACTGTATTCCAATAAAAGGAAACCATTCTCAAGTTTTAAAAATAT